GATCTCAGATTACTTGGGCTGAGAGGAGGGAATCATAGACTCTGCTACTTGGAAGAAACCCCAAGGACTCATGGATGTCAAGCCTCAGTCTCTTAATTCAGCTTGCTCCAGAAATAACAGCCTCTACCCACTCCCCAGTGCTTCCCTGGTGGCACTAGTGGTAAAGAATCCACCTGCCAATACAGGAGATGCAAAGATGTAGGTTTAATCCCTGAGTCAGGAAGATCCCCTGGAGAAGGAAATGGCAACCCACTCCAGTATATTTTTGCCTGGGAAATCTCATAGACAGAGGAGCCTGGTGACTGACAGTCCATAGGGTCGCAAAAGAGTCAGACCTGACTTAGCAACTAAACAACAACACAAGAACCCACTCTCCAGTGTGAGAAGAGATCTAGCCCAGCATTTCTCAAACTTAAGGGAACATTCAAACCACCCAGGATTCTTGCAATGCAGATTTTGACTCAGTAGATCAACCAAGACACCTTGGTGCCCTCAAAAGGTCCTGTTTTAGTGGGGGAAGTGCAGTCTGTGGTCAGGCTGAGCCCTCCAGGGCAAGAGCTTTTTATTTTCTCCAGTCACATGGTCTCACATCACAGTACCTCTAATATCATAACCTGTAACCATAGAAAATATTTGTTGGATGGTTGTATGATTGGGTGGGGCACATGTGAATGGATGGGTGGATGGATGCTGATGTGAAAATCAAATCAATCAGAAACAACAAGCAATTGATAGACTATGTATGTGTGTGTTAGTTACTCAGTCATGTCTGACTCCTTGCAACCCTGTAGACTGTAGCCCACCAGGCCCCTCTGTCCATGGGACTCTCCAGGCAAGAACACTGGAGTGGGTTGCTATTTCCTTCTCCAAAAGGAACTATAGAAAGAAACAAAGTGATAGACTATACTATTACATATTTACATATGTATTTACCTATTATATATCTAGGCAAAATAGTCCTGGGGGAAAATGGGGGAAGGGAGAAGGAAGGAAGAAGGGTGAGAGGAAGGAAGGGAGGGGAAGAGAGAAGGAGGGAGAGGGGAAAGGCAAGAAGGCAGTGAAACAGGAAAAACTCTCTAAACCCCCAAAGAGTTTTCTTTATGCCTCTACTGGAACATCTTACTAACTTAGAACGATTTATGGATGTGTCACATCCCCTCCCGTAAACTATGAGGTGTGTGCATGCAAGGCTGCATCTTTTATCTCCTAATCCCCAGTGCCTGGCTCTCGCAGGAACTCTGTAAATATACATTTTGTGAAATGAATAGTGATAATAGCTCCATTCACAAAATCCTTTTTAGGTACCAGACATGGATTCTCATTTAATCCTGTAACAGTCTTACGAAGCCAGTCTGATTATCCACACTTTACAGATGAGGAAGGCGAAACGTAGCAGGATTAAATTAAATGCCCATAGTCTACACAATCAGCAGTTGGACCAGAGCCCATAGCCAGGTTTTGTAAGGCCTGAAGCTGATATATTTTGAAGGACTCGCTTTAAGGAAAAGAATACCCCCAAAAATCTGCTGCAAAATTTACAGAATAGTATGACCACGTGAACACAGAACCGAGACAGGGCTCCTTACAGCGGCCATGCGGGAGGGACTCTGCAGCTTGGACCACACTAGTGCCATGGCAAAACGTCCTCTGATCTTGACCCACGGACTGGAACCAAAAGCAACAGGAAGAAGGAAGAGAGGAAAATGTCAGAAAAAGAGATGAAGCGATAAAAGCAGAACAAAAGGAAAGGGAGGAAGACGGGAAAAGGAGGGGACAATAAATAGATGGTTGGAGGACTTCCCTGGTGGCTCTGTGGTGAAGAATCCACATGCCAGTGCAGGAGACGCTGGTTCGATCCCTGGTCCAGGAAGATCCCACATGTTGTGGAGCAACTAAGCCAGTGTCACAACTACAGAGCCTGTGCTCTAGAGCCGCACAAAAGAAGTCACTGCAATAAGAAGTCTTTGCACAGCAACAAAGAGCACAGTCAAAAATAAATAAACACTATATATATATGGTCCCATCACTTCATGGCAAATAGATGGGGAAACAATGGAAACAGTGACAAGACTGGAAACAGTGAGGGCTCCAAAATCACTGCAGATGGTGATTGCAGCCATGAAATTAAAAGACACTTGCTCCTTGGAAGAAAAGCTTTGGCAAACCTAGACAGCCTATTAAAAAAGCAGAGACGTTACTTTGCCAACAAAGGCCTGTCTAGTCAAAGCTATGGTTTTTCCAGTAGTCATGTATGGATGTGAGAGTTGGACTATAAAGAAAGCTAAGTGCTGAAGAATTGATGCTTTTGAACTGTGGTGTTGGAGAAGACTCTTGAGGGTGCCTTGGACTGCAAGGAGATCCAACCAGTCAATCCTAAAGGAAATCAGTCCTGAATATTCATTGGAAGGGCTGATGCTGAAGCTGAAACTCCAATACTTTGGCCAAATGATTCAAAGAACTGATTCACTGGAAAAGACCCTGATGCTAGGAAAGACTGAAAGCAGGAGAAGGGGACAACAGGGGAAGAGATGGTTGGATGGCATCACTGGTTCAATGGACATGAGTTTGAGTGAGCTCTGGGAGTTGGTGATGGACAGGGAAGCCTGTCATGCTGCAGTCCATGGGGTCGCTGGACACAACTGAGCAACTTAACTGAACTGATATATATGTATATGTACATCTTTTCCCAGGTGGCACAGTGGTAAAGAAACTACCTGCCAATGCAGGAGACATAAGAGATGCAAGTTTGATCCCTGGGTTGGGTAGATCCCCTGGAAAAGGAAACGGCAACCCACTCCAGTATTCTAGCCTGGAAAATCCCATAGACTAGGGAGCCTGGTGGGCTGCAGTCCATGGGGTCGCAGAGTCGCACATGACTGAGCGTGCGCATACACACACACACACACATACACATAAAGAGATGGTTGGAAAACAGAAAGAGCAGGACAGGAAGGCATTGAGGGGGAGATGAAGCTGCCTCTGGATGAACGGAGGTGGGGGAGCAGGGAACATCCAGCCAGCTGGTCCCCCACCCCCGCCCCAGGCACCTGGAAGGATGGACCCTCTTCTCTCCAGGCCATTACACCTCCACCTGCACACTGTGCAGCCTCCTCCCTACAAGGACCCTGCCTCATCCTGCCCATGTATCTCCTTCCCTGACCTCTCCTCGGGCTCTCAGACCCACCTGGGAGCTGGCCCCAGAGCTGGAGCCAGGAGGCCTGAGTAATCAGCCCTCCAGCCAGTCTCGCCCAGCAGCATTCTTGCCCAGGCAGCTACCTCTTTCCTGGTTCATCACCTGAGAACCCGGCGAGGAGATGCAAGCCTGGGGCCCAATGTTTAGCTCAATACATAGAAGAAGCAAGGCCATGAAAAGCTTGGTTCAGGGTAACCCACTGGCCTCGCACTGCCTTACTGCTGGGTCCTCCTTGAAAGGGACAGGCCTGCCTGTGTCTTCACAGCCTGTCCCTTGATGTCTCCTGTTCTGAGATCATGGGCTGTCACATTGCCCAAAACTTCTGGTTCTAAAGGCACCACCCTCAACTGGGAGAAGGTGGTTGGCTCAAGAGACACTTCAGACCAGCTCAGATCTCTGCTGCTCAGAGACAAGTCCAAGACCATACCTCATGGAGCAGCCAAAATTAGGCCAGTAAAGGATTCAATCTAGCTGATACTCCTCCTCCTGCTCAGAGCTCACCAGGGTCTTCCATGGGCCATATCTCCCCAGGCCATTACCCAGGGCTTCCAGACACTTGTGCTACATTCAATCCTGAGCCAGACTCAAAACTGCCAAGAGCTCAGTACGACTTGGGGGCCAGTCCCTTGTCTCCATGAGCTACTATTTCCTCAACGTCAAGTGGGAGTTTTGACAGGGTTGTGGTGAGAACTAAAGAGATGATACATAAATGCACATTATCAGTGGATGGGCCAATACACATATCTAACCTGGGCTGGTCTCTGGGAAGGGTCAAGGCTGAGAAATGGACGAAGATCTATATTTGTTCAGAAATCGACACTAATTTACTGCGTGACCTTGGATACTTGGAACTTAGTTTCCTGATCCATAAAAGTGATGGGAGATGACAGTTGCCCAAGTCCCTTCCAGCTGTGTGGTTCTGTAGCCCCAAGGTCTCTCTTTGCACACCCCGCTGGCCAAGGGGTGGCTCCATCCCTGAGAATCCGGCAAGGTGTGAATCAGCAGGGACCCTGTGAGGAGCGGGACCCGCGTTCAAGCCAGAGCACCAAGAGTGATATAGCCAAGATATTGAGTTGGCTGAAATGTTCCTTTGGGTTTTTCCACAGGATGTTACAGAAAAAACAAACAAACAACAACAACAACCAAAAAAAAACCCTTTTGGCCAACCCAAAAGTAGTAACTGGTTTGGTGGGGCTAAGAAATGCTTAGAAGGGCTGCTGACTGGAACCCCATATATAAGCCTGCCCAGGACAGCTTCACCCCACGGTCCAAGGAAAGAGGAGGGAACCTCTTCTCCGTGGACTTTCCAATCCTGTCGCTCCACTCATGGCAACAATCTGGTTCCACTGAGCAGTAAACTCTGTCATCCCACTCCCCGCAATCGCAAACACAGCACCCACGCAGGGAGAAGTCAGTCATCTAGAAGAGATAGAGAGAGAGAGAGGGCCTTCTAACATCACCGACAGCCAACACCCAGTCAGGTGGAAGCCATTCAGGCGGGAACGCCTTTACGACATCTAGGTGTGTCACCTGTTCTGAGGCTAAAGGGCCCAGGAATGACTCCAGGTGTTGTTCCAGCCCCTAAGACGGGTGTCGGGTTACAAAACATAATCATTCCAGTTTGGCAACTTCACCTGTAGGATTGCTTTAATCGACCTGCCCCACACTCCCCAAATCACTCCTGAAGGCAGCAGTGGGAGGCTCGCGCCAGCTACTCCAGGGGATAGAGATGCTGGATGCCGGGAACCACCGAGCCCTGCCCTGCACTTAGGGCTCCTCCAGCCAATGTTGCCTGGGGATCACTGACCTGCTCGCCAGCCAGGGCCCGGTCCTGGGAGACCCTCATCCTGACTTGGGCTGGCGACCTCAGCTCCAAGCCATGGAGAATTCAGAAGATCGAAGAGCCAGGGTGGTAAGTGTGGGGGCTCCAACGACTGGGGGAGGGAGGGTCTCCCCTCTTCAGGCAACCTAAGAGGTCATCAGCTCACAATTTTGCAACACCTTCCAGGTGAAAAAAGAGGTCCCACCTAAGTCATCCTGGTCCCCACCTGCCCTCCCCTCCCTCCAACAGCCAAGCCAGGGCTATCCTTTCAGCTCTGCCCTCCTAAATCCTGCCTCTCTCCCACCCAAGGTCTCCTGGCTGGAGACTGGCACCACCTTTCCAATGGCAAGGGACTGTTTTGACACAATGGTGGCCCTCTGCCTCCTCTCTGGGGAAACTGACTCATTTCTTGTTAAAGAAAACAGTAGGGTGCCTTAGAACAATCTAGGGTGCTGTGGAGATCTACTTGTCTCTTTTTTTTGGCTCTGCCTGCTCTCCTCCTCTGAACACTGAGAGCTTCTCCACGGTCTTGGGGTGAAGAATATCAATCCCATTTTTCAGGGAGGATAACTGAGGACTGGGAGGGGAGGAGATGGAACCCAGGGAATCTTCCTCCTCCAATTGTTGGACAAGATGCCGCAGTTGCCAACAACCAGCATGAAAACGAAGGGGAGGGGAAGGGGGAGCACTATGTCTGGGGAGAAAGGGGTAACCTGCTGGGGCCCCTCAGGTGCTGCTCTCCTGACTCTCGAGCACTTTCCATGACACTCCTTTGGACTGTCTGGCAACACTCTGGCCCCAGGGCTGGGGTAGCCAGGGCCAGGAAGGGCTTGAAGCGGCTCGCCACTTTACTCTGTAATTCAGCCAGGATCGAAGCACACCCTCCTGTGTCCCATGCCTAGACGCCCAGCCTGCATGCAGAGAAGCTCCATCCTGCCGGGGCTCTCAGAATGGAGGAGGGAGCGGTACTAACCTGCCTGAGTGTCGGCAGCTTCTTGGTGTCATTTGGAGCTACATAGAAGGAGGAAGTTTTTTTTTTTATTTTTTTTTTATTTTTTTTTTTAAGGGTTAGAAAGATACTTTTATTTTTTTTTTTCCATTGTTGAAAATAGTTCATTTTTTTTTTTTTTACATGTATTCCCCATCCCGGTCAGTTTTTTGTTTTATAGTTTTATTTATTTACTTTGGCTGCGCCAGGTCTTCATTGATGCTTGGGCTTTTTTCTACTTATGGGGAGCGGGATCTACTCTTCATTGCCACGCACGGGTTTCTCAATGCATTGGCTTCTCTTGTGGAATGTGGGCACGTGGGCTCAGAAGTTGCGGTTCCCAGGCTCTAGAGCACAAGTTCAACAGTTGTGGCACACAGGCTTAGTTGCTCCACGGCATGTGGGATCGTCCCAGACCAGGGATCAAACCTGCACTGGCAGGTGGATTCTTTACCACTGAGCCACCAGGAAAGTCCCAGGAGGCAGTTTTGATGGCAGATTGCTGGGGCACTACCTGTAGGGTCAAAGGTCACATGGCCAGCTCCTTTGGGAGCTTATCAGTCTCGAGACTTTGAGACTCACTGACTCCTTCTATAAAACAGAAATATTATCCACACTACCCGCTAGGCATACACACAGGGTTAGCCTAGGGGTATATGAGAATAGCCTCAGTAAACCAGGAACCCCTGTGCAGAAGTCAGGACTTTATCACTAAATAGAACTCACTCCAGGGAATGGCAGATTGGGGGGCATGGCCATCACTGACCCTCCGCTGCCCTGGGCAGGAGCTGGGTGCTCACTGCTGTGTGAACAAGCTGGGGCAGGTGAACACACTGGGGAGGAGGTGCCAAGCCTGGGGCCCCAAAGGCCAGGCCACAGTGAGGCCATAGTCCAGGATGGCACCCAGAGAGCCTGCAGTCCCTGAGCTAACCATTAAGCCACCGTGCCTCATAACCTGTTATTTCCTCTAGTGAGGCCCAGACAGCTATAGCTGCCAGCCCTGGGAGAGATGAGACGGCCTTCCCTCCTCCGCCCACACCCCAGGGCCACTCCCTGGGCCAGGTCCGCACTGCGGCTCTGTCTTCATAATGGTGCCCCCTCAAACCTATTCAACCAGGTGTGCGTGTGCCAGCGAGACAGGCGCTAGGGAGAGGGCCCCGGGCAGCGGTCTGAGCCTCGGCCCTCAAGGGGAGCATATCCCTTGGTATCTGACACCTGCAGCAGAGCGCTGGAGGGAAGCCTGGGACGGGGGACTAGCTGACCTGGTCTTAACTGCTTACTGCCCACGAGGCCCCAGTACACTATGAGTCACAGGAGTAGAGGGCTCAACACTTGAGCTCAGTTCAACCCTCGGGCTGCCCTGGAGAAAGCAGGTCTTCCTTGCCTCTCCTCCTTGACTTGCCACTGGTACAGGCCCAGAGCTTGCTGGGCTTGGTGGGACTCAGGAAAGTGGCCAGTCAGCGGGCAGCCTGCTGGCAGCGGGGGTCAGGGAGCATGGGTGGGGTCCGCTTCAAAGAGAGGCTGAGTCCAGGAGCCCACTCAGTCCTCGTGGCGCCTTCCTGGCTGGTAGGCAGAAGGGGTGGGCCGTGCAAAGACTCAAGAGAGCAAGACAGGAAAAGAAGGGCCAGGCGCCCTCCTGTTCTCCAGGCCCCCCACCTGCTGTGGCCCCTAAAGTAGCTACACCCTTTCAACTGCCATTTAATCAGCCCCTCCTACCAGCCAGCCTCCAGACAGCTGGAAGTGGGGCAAGAGGGTACAACGCCTGGGTTCTGGCCTGGAGGTGCTCGAATCCAGAGGAAGGGCGGCTCCTTAAGCAAAGGATCCTAAGGCAGTGTGAGCAATCCAAGAACCAGAGGAGGTGTGAGGCACCGATGGAGCAGAGAAGGCAGCAGATTCTCTCTAGGAGTGACCGGGAGTCGTCCCAGAAGAGGCAGTACTTGCACTTGACCTTGAAGCAGGCTTTCTCCAGGCAGGAGGAAGTGCATGTGAATAGCAGAAAGCAAGGCAGTGGGAGGCAAGGGGGCGGGGCGGTGGCTTGAGCAAAGTGTGCAGGCGCAGTGAGCACAGAGGCCGAAGCTGGGGTCTGGGCCCCTTGCGGTGTCATGCAGGCTCTCCATGGAGATCAGGTTCAGGGTCCCCACCCTGCCCTGGAGCTCGGAGGGGGGCTGGGCCAGGGTGACGTCCCAGCAATGGCTGGGGGCTCATGCTTCAGGTTGAGCCACCCCCAGAACCTGGAACAGCCCTGCCTCGTTCCAAGAAGTGGGTGCGTGCCTTCTCTGTGCCCACGCTTCACTGGTGACAGAGCAGAGGTGAGCCCCGCGCTCACAGAGCTCAGCATCTAGAGCACGTGCAGGGCAGGAAGGGGGTGATGGTTATCAACAATCTCACCAACTCCTGTTTCACTAACAACTGAGTATCACAGGATGTGATGAGACACACGGGAGCTGTCAGAGCCAGACCAGGGCATGGGCCTGGCGAGAGGTCAGCGGAGGCCAAGGGCTGCATAGGAGCTGGGATGTGGGGAGATGGGCCATGCCAGGTGGAGGGAACAGTGGGCTCGAAGGTGGACGTATAGCCCCAGGCCCTCTTCTGTCTCCAGCCCTGGGGGTAGAGCTCTGTGCCTGGGTACCAGGATGTGGAGAAGTGGTTTAGAAGCCAGGCCTGGTTCGTACCCCCGGCCTCTCCCTCACCCTCTCTGACCCCGCTCTGTGCCACTGAGACCCCCAGCGGTCATCTGCAGCAAACACCCTTCACTTCCAGCCTGTGCCCTTGACAAAGACTGAGAAACTCTGAGAAGCTAAAAGTGGGAAGTGAGGAGAGACTAGTTCAGGACAGAGGGGGAACATGGAAGAAACCAAAAACAGGGCTCAAGAATTCTGGACAAACTTTTCTGAAGCCCAGAACTAACCCAGGATAGCCGGAGACAGATGTTCTCAGGCCTGAAAATCTTGGCAGATCTCTCAGAATTCCTCAGCTTACCTCCCCTCACTCTTCCTTCTTGCTCAGATTAAAAACATCTGCCTCTATAAAGCACCTCAAGTGCCAGAGCAGTGATCCACCCCAACAGTGATTCCCCAAAACCTGAAATGCATTCATCTGCCACATTTTTATTTTACAAACATCAGAGTTACTACTAGACTGTGAGCTTTGAGAGGAGGGTCTGTGTCTCTATTATTATTTTTATTTATTTTTGGCTGTGCTGGGTCTTCACTGCTGCACGGGCTTTTCTCTAGTTATAGCAAGCAGGGGCTACTCTCCAGTTGTGGTGCGCAGGCTTCTCGTGGCTTTTCTTACTGCGGAGCACAGGCTCTAGGGCTCACAGGCTTCAGTAACTGCGGCCCGTGGGCTCAGTGGTTGCTGCTCCCAGGCTCCAGAGCACAGGCTTCATAGTTGTGGTGCATGGGATTAGTTGCTCCACAGCATGTGGGGTCTTCCTGGGCCAGGGATCAATCCTGCCTTGTCTCCTGCATTGGCAAGTGGATTCTTTATCAGTGTAAAGAAGCCTGGGTCTGTGTCTTTTCCATCTTTTTAGCCCCAAACCTAGCACAGGACCTAGCACAGAATAGGCACCTGATATATGTTTGTTAACGAAGGACAAATAAATGACCAAAAACTGGAACCCCTGTAACTAGCAGTTTGATTTATCTGACGCTGAAAACAAGATTAACCAAGTCTGAATGGAAAAGATCCCAGATGCCACCAGAGGTGTTCCCGAGCTGTTTTCATCCCAGATGGGGCTGGGGGTGAGGTCTGAGCCCACCTGGAAATCCCAGTGATAAGAAAGAGAGAGTTTGAGCAGAGCCGATGTGGCAATCCCACTGCGACGTGATTAACTCCACCTCACAGCCTGCAGCTCTGTCACGATCACAGCAGAGAAATTCGTAAACAAGATTTAAGACTCAAAACCAAAACACCTCTCTCCACTTCTCCCTCCCAGAGCAGCTTCCAGCTTCCTGGCATAATCCACATGCAACTGGAAACTCTCACAGGGTAGCAGGAGAAAGAAACACTTGAGGAAGAGGGCAAGAGGCTGCGA